TAATTCTTGGCATATAGGAACTGTTCAATAATTGCTTAGCTATTTACCTGAAAGCTCACTATCTACACAGGTTCTCCACCACCATTTATTTTCTCAGCATCCTGTTAATTTCTGATTTATCACATTTTATTATTTCTCAAGTACTGCACCAACAGTAAGGTCCTTGCTTCACATATCATTATATACCCAGTATGCAGCACAAAATAACACTGAAATATATTCACTGAATAATCATACTAGAATCAATAAGACCCAAAGACTCAACATTTTTAGAAGGACCCATTGATCTCTTTAGCATCTGCCAATGGGAAGGATGATGATAAACATTAACAATAACAGGGGGACTTCCCTGGTAGCACAGTGGTTAAGAATCCGCCTGCCAACGTAGGGGACATGGGTTAAAGCCCTGGTCTGGGAAGATCCCACGTGCTGTGGAGCAGCTAAGCCCGTGGGCCACAACTACTGAACCTGTGCTCTAGAGCCCACAAACCACAACTGCTGAGCCTGCGTGCCACAACTACTGAAGCCTGCACACCTGAGCCTGTGCTCCACCACAAGAGAAGCCACTGCAGTGAGAAGGCTGTGCACTGCATCAAAGAGTAGCCCCTGCTCGCCTCAACTAGAGAAAGCCTGCACGCAGCAACGAAGACCCAACGCAGCCAAAAATAAATAAATAAAATAAATTTATTAAAAAAAAAACAATAACAGGGAATAAAGAAGAATAAACAAGTTAAGTGTCTTTTGTGGGGGAAAGAGGCAGGCATTTGAGATGAACTGAATAATGGATATATTGAATTCGAAGTAGAAAATTTAAACAGGAAGTTAGAAATACGTCTGAGACATCTGAAAGTCAAAAATACAGTAGTGACTAAGAACATGGTCTCTAGAGTCAGTCTGCCTAGGTTTAAATCCCAGCTCTGCTACTCCTAGTTATAGGATCTTAGATCTTAGGCAGATTACTTAACCTCTGGGCCCCAATAATCTAGTGTCAAAAAACAAAACAAACAAACAAAAAAAACCCACCACCAACCAAAGAAACCAATTGTGCTCACCTCATTGGGTTTTTTTAGGATTAAAGGACTAAATACTGAAGCATCGGAATAACAGCAAAAAACAAAAACAAAAAACACAGTATATTTCGAAATTTACAGTGAAAACAAAAAGAACCAGGACCCCAAGTAACGATAACTGAGACCAAAGGAGAGGAAATATATGAAAAGTGATAAGTGGACCAAAGGGAAAATAAGAAATTACAGAATATAGGCCAAAAAAAAGGATTTTGAGGAAGAAACTCTCAAAAGCAGAAAGTGTTGGTTAAGTGCATATAATCTATAAGAAGGCCTCTAGATTTGGCAATTTGAAGGTCAATCACCAACAGAAAGAAGTGTTCTACAAAGTGTTTAGATAGGTATAAGGAGAGAGAGCAAAAAAAGACTATACAGCAGGATCAAGGGGTAAATGGAGAAAAGAAATCTAGATTAGGGGTCCCTAGACTTTCTGTTCCCAAGGACTTCAGAAAAGAAACAGGGAGAATATGACATAAGATTGTGGACTCAATTCTATAAAATAAAAATTTTTTTACTCTACTGCCACCACCATTTGAAAAAGGAAAACTGCATAACAGCAAGTCTTTATGAAGGCTAAAACTCTCGGAATAAAAGGAACACCTTTATGAAAAATCTCTATACTGTTCTTATTTTTTATAATTTCATAGTAGATTTATAAAAATCTTGTAATAGAAAAGGAACACGGATTTGCAAATCATTGTTCTAGACTACCCTAAGAAAACCCTAGCAATAACAGATTAAAAGGGAAACAATTACCTCCCCCCATTAAAAATGAAGAAATCAAGTTATGTCTGAGAGAAACATCTCCTATTAACTTAAGATCTTTAGATGGCAATATCTGTCACGTTATGACAAATCTGTATGCCAGAGTATGCAAACACAAACACTAATTAAAAGTTTACACTTGGGCTTTCCTGGTGGCGCAGTGGTTGAGAGTCCACCTGCCGATGCAGGGGACACGGGTTCGTGCCCCGGTCAGGGAAGATCCCACATGCTACAGAGTGGCTAGGCCCGTGAGCCATGGCCACTGAGCCTGCTTGTCCAGAGCCTGTGCTCTGCAACGGGAGAGGCCACAGCAGGGAGAGGCCCACGTACCGCAAAAAAAAAAAAAAAAAAAAAAAAGTTTACAGTTGCTGGAGAATTAGTAGTTTTAGAATACTAACTCCAGGACTACATTTTCTATGTATTACCTATGCCATATTTTTATAGTTGGCACACAAGCATTTTGTATATGCCATAAGTGCATTTATTACACACTAACTACAGAAAAAAATATAAGGACATATTTGCAATATATATAAACTAGACCTGGCATGCCATGGGGGCTCAATAAAACTTTTTTGAAATGTACTGAAGTGGTGTATGCCACATAATGAAATACAAGTCAGATTCCATTTCTACAAAAAATACCAAAAAAACAATACAACACAATGGTTTCAAGAGTGGTAATAAGACCAAACAAAGCCTTTGGATTCAGATAAACCTGGGTTCAAATCTCAGCTGCAATACTTTATAGCTGGCAAAGTTATTTAAACTGTTTGTGTTTCCTCATCTGTAAAATAGAAATGATACCTACCTCATAAGGTTGTAGTGCTGATGAAATGGCAGTTATAATTTCTATTTAATGTGACTGCCAAAATCTCACAAGCAGTCCAGTCCATTTTTTCCCAAGTCCTAGACCAAATCAATCCAAATCTCTGGAGGATGAGACAAAGGCCTGCATACTTTTTATAGTTTTACAAGTGATTACCACTAGCACTCTCTTCTAGAAATCACTGTCCTAGAGCCTTATTAACAAAGCTTTACCTAAATCCCAGGTAAGGAACCATCACAAAGATGAAAGAGAGTTAAGACATCCTTTGGTTTAGTTCCAATCTTCTAAGAAAGACCTTTACCCAAAATTCCTTTTACAGGGAAGAGAACCATAATGCAAACTTCCAGTTTAAAATCTTTTCCAAAGCCAGGAAATTTAATTCCACACTGAAATTTTATATCAAAATGAGGTATACCTTAGCCTCGTTGTATTCATCATTGAATAGTTTTAATACTGAATACTTTAAATAATGTATAGATGAACAGTGTACCCAAGGATGTATACCATAACGATATGCAACTTCTCTTATTTCTGTTATCTTTCTTAAAATTAAGTTTAAGTTTACAATTTAAATCCATTCACGCTTCACTTAAACTTTCCCAATAAATTTTTTATTCAACACATACATTTTAAAATGTGCATCTCACAAGCATTCTTACTAAAGACTGAAGACGTGTAAAGCAAATTCAGCATTCCAGAAGCAAACCTGAAATCCTAATAACTAAGTAGCCCAATAAAACATTTTAGAGAAATATACAGAGCAAAAATACACAATCATGAACATTTTATTCCAAAAGAATCAGTGTGAAATAATAAAAATTCCTGGAAAAAAATTAAGAGTCTAGAAACACTGCAGAACTTCTTCAAAAAAAAGCAAACAAAAAAAGTTTAGAATGGCTATATCAGAACTAATATGCCAACTGTAGATAAACTGAAAGCAAGCAAGCAAAATGAATCTTCCTTAAAAGACTTCGGTCAAGAAGAGAATTAGAAGGGAAAGCAAGGGCTAGGGTAGACAATATAGATAGACCTCACTGTTGTATAGATTTTTTACTAATTTAGACACAAGACATTTTTCAGCTACTTACACCAGTGAAACTTATGAATGACTAATGCAATTGCTAACTTGAAAAGTGTTTAAATTCAAGCTTTTCTATAACAGTACAAAGGTTATAAACACTGTATCAGGGACTGGTGAAATATTATTTAGTGAGCCCAAGCCTCAATGCATTAGTAAATGCAATTTTTAAAAATAAATGCCTCACACCGAATATTAAGTTTGCACATGGTGTAGTAAAAGTTGTACATCAATAGAACTCTATACATCCCAGATATTTTAAAGCAGACTACACACACAAAAAAACAATTTTGACTTTAGCTTTTTAAATGTTATATTTTTAAGAGCCCAATAGTATATCAAAGCACTAAAACACTGAATTGACTAACAGGTGTTGATTTATAATTAACTTTCTCAAGACTTGGTAAAGTGTCAAAATATATGTTTCTTACTTTTCAAAAGTTTAACTTTTCCAACTTTGTAGAGACAAATAAAAGTCGACTGGTTCAAAATCAAACTGACGATATACATATTTGTTTGAGGACACCCTTTTTAAGCTAATCCAATCTTCCTTCTTTCAGCACTGCATTTCCCTAACCATTCACCCCAGGCATATATGACATGTATGTCAGCGAACAATACTACTTACATTCTAAATATATACCAGTCTGAAGAACAGGTGCAACACTATTTAGATGCATGCCTTTTTTCTTCTAAGCCAAAATTTGCCTTAGAAAGTGATTTTAAAATAAACACAAACACCCAAAAGATTTGAACAATACTTTTAAAAAGATGTAGTCCTTCTGAAATACAAGACATAAGTCCTTAAAACACCAACAATCTTCCAAAAGTTAGGTAAACCAACCTATCAAAGTTTCACCTTAAGACTGAGTCCGGCTCAATTATGAAGGATCCTGAGGATATTTAACTTTGCTTCCCCTGCGTGAGTTGGTAACGTGAGACAAGTACGCTTTACTCCAAGTTAATATTAAATCTTCATAAAGACGGCACAGATATTCTGGTTTGGCTTTTTATGTGTAAAGAAGGGGATGGAGAACGGCGAAGGGTATTCTAAAAAGAAAAATTCAGTACAGAGAAGCGTTGATGAGTCAATCACTAAGAACTCAAAGGAATCTAAGTGAATAAGGCAGCATCCCAGGTAAGAAGGTACTTAAAGTTGGCGGTAGGAAATGAAAACTTCACAGGTCAGCCGCAAGCCATTGTGCTCGGTAGCAGCCCTGGAAAGAAGCGTGGCTGTCAAGGAGTAAGGGTTATCAACTCCGGGGGAGGGGGGCAGACATGCCAAATCGGAAAAGGGGGGTGATCCGGGTAAAGGTGGTAAATGCCCGTCCCAATCCCTCTCCTCCGGTTCTCCATCTCAAGAGGCACAAACAAGAGCAAGCTCAGTGCCCAACAGCCCCTCGCCGGACTCTCTCCCACAGAGAGGAACTCGGCCCCAAGCCCCGGAGACCCGCGCAGGCCGCCTCCGGAGGAGCCCCCGCAGACGCCATACTAAAAGCCAAAATGGCTGCCCGAAGGAAGCCCGCACCGCGCAGCTAGTGAGGGCTGGGTAACAAGCTTCTGCGGGAAGGGGGGAGGGGGGCTAGAGGAAGAGCCGTCGCCAGGACCATCGCCCCCTCGAGCCGCACAGGTAGGTTTCTCTCGGCCTCCCAAGGCCTCGAGCTCCAACTGAGGGGAGTCCCGGCCCCACCCCCCCCACCCCCCGGTCGGGAACCCCGCCGCCGCAGCCGTCCCGCACACCGACCCCAGCGAGGTACCTGCAGTTCGGCCCGCTCCACCTCCCAGTGCGCCCGCTCCATCTCGAACCGAGCCCACTCGTGCTGGATGTAGTGCAGGATCCCTGGGATAGTGTACTGCTGCGGCCGGGACAGCTCTGGGCCTGCCGCGGGACCCGCTCCCTCGGCGGTCGGAGCACCCCCACCGCCCGCCGCTCCATTCCCCCCGGGCGAAAGGCTCATGTTCCCCCCAGGTCCCTGCTGCTGCCGTGGAGGGGCCGCCATCCCGGGGCCGCCACCACCACCTCCGGCGAGCTCGTCCATTGTGTGTGGGGCCCCGGCCGGGGCGCAGGGCGAGACGCCGACCGCTGGGGGAAGGGCCGGGGAGGGTGGCCCCGCGCTGGCGGCGGGGCGGAGGCCGGCTGGGAGAGGGGCGGGGAGGGGGTTGTTGCTGAATGCCTGCCGTAGGTCAGAGCAGGGAGCTGCCGGCCGCCGCCATTACAGTCCCTCCTCCATCTGCCAGTTTCACTCACTCACTTTAGGGGAAGGGGGGGCCGCGGCGGGAGGGGGAAGGGGGGCAGGGTTGGGAAGGAGAGAGACGTAGGGTCGCCGCTCCCGCGCAGCATGCCGGGTAGAGAACGCCACTGCCGCCGCTCGCCTACTAGCCAAATAGAGTCCGGCCTCACCCTACGCAGGCGTACTGAGGACGCAGTCGGCTTGCCGTTAGAGGCGGGGAAGGAGATTCGGCCCCGCCCCTAGGCCCGCCCCGCAGGCTCGCTGCGGGATTCTGGCGGTGGAGTCCGGACGAATCCAATCGAATCCAATCTTTGGAAGAGAGTTGGTCTCTGCCTTCCCAGGAATCCGTATCCCTCTCTCAGTCAGTCCCCAGCGCCGTTCCCTACCCAAAGGTCTCAGCGGCGCGCTTGCCTTTGGAGCTGGGTTTTAACCTGGTTGGTCGCTCTGGCCGGCCGCAGCCGGTCCCGGATTCCTGACGTTTCTTTTGCATTCCTTGCGTGTTTTTAGGCAGTCCCAGAGGGTCGGGCCTCTTTCTCTGCCTGTCACTCTCTCTTTCTCTGGTTTCCTAGCACCAGGCAGTTCCCGGGGCTTTGGGGACGTTCTCTTTTGGCAAAGAGCCCAGATCGTCCCGGACGTGGAGACTGATTCTCTGTCTCTGGGCTTTGCTCCCAATTCTGTGCTCCCTGTCGCGCGTTGCAACTTGTACAGCTTTGCCTCCCGTCTTTCCTATTCTGGGGTGGGTTGTGTTTGGGGAGTTTGACAGGGGAGCAGTAGCGATTGTTTTCATTTTTTGGGGGGAGAAGAGAAGGTGAAAATCTTTAGATCTTGATAGTGGGCAGAGGGAGAAAGAAAACTGGAGGGGACTGGTTAAACTAACAATTTGATATTTTAGAAGTGAATGAGCTCACAAATATTGTCATTCATAGCAGAATCTTTTGATGGAAATAGAAAATAAGAGCATTGTGAAGACAATTTAAAACCCTAGATGAACGGCTAAAAATGTTTTCCTGGGTTGTTTTAGTGAATGTAATATACACATAAAAGACAAGGTTAATCTTTTAAGTACCGTAGTGTGTGTGTTTATGTATTTAGGTTGCACGGAAACATCCTTAATGAACTAGTAAGTTTCTAAAAGTTAATGTAGCTAATAACCATTTGGTCAAAAAATAGGACAAAAATGATATTTAACAACAATAAGGAAAAAAGATTCATTAATTACAGCTATGCAGGAAAATCGCATATAACATTTATTGCATTCAAATTTTTCGCTTCTCTACTACCAATAAAATTTTCACTATGGAATATACACGACCACTCGGTGTAATTTCCAAGAGATAAAGTAGTACATCTTATTTTATCATGTCTGCTTTACTGTTATTATAGTTTAACGGAGAGCGGATTGGACTTGTTACCCATGCTGCCATGTTTAATTTACATATGAAATGACGTCTGAGGTCGCAGAATTATTAAGAACTATTTCTCCATTTCATAGCAACCAACATACAACCAGCTCATTCAATCTTGTTCATTTGCGAGGGGCCTCAGAGCACGTAAAAAGTTCAAAAATTCTGTACTGCCTCAAGACCCATATACATCAAGAAAAATTTGTGAGAAGGTGTGACTGATCTCCCTTACGTTGGCATCAAAAGAAGAGGAGCATACCCACTAATATTTCCTGCTGGTACGTCAAGTTCAAGTAAAGACTGGATTTATAATCCTTTTTCCTCCCCACTCACCTTCAAAAAAAACCAAACTCTGCTCTTCTATTACCTATCATATTAAGTGGCACCACATTCAAACCTGAGGCCTGGCAGTCATTCTAGTACCTTTCCTTCACTTGGTCCCCTCATCCAATCCCTTTCTCAGTAATACCTTTTATATCTATTCCATATCTTCATGCATGTCTTAATTTAAACCTTCCCACCTTTACTGTTCCCCCGCCTTCCACTACCACGGATGCCTGAGTGATCTTCAGAAGTCAGATCTGATCCTATCATTCCCTGCTTAAAATATATTAATGATCACCAGACTTACAATAAAGCCCAAATTTTAGCATAGTATATAAAAGTCCTTATTGCCTAATTTACCATCACACCATCATGGTATCCCATTCTCTCCAGCTAATCTGCAGCACCATTTTGGGTTCCTCAAATGTGTAATGCTGTTTCATTCCACAAGAATTTAATACATGCTGTATCCAACTGGCTTTGCTTCCCTTCTTCCTTCAAAACTCATCTCAAGTATTTCTTCCTCCAAGAAGCTTTCCAGATCCGTGAATTATTTAGTATAGTATCCTAATAGTATCCCATGCTTAACTCCTAATACTTATTACATTGTATTTAAATTGTCTATATATGTACTCGGTGACAGTCATACTAAACACTATGAAAGCAAGACAGTCACATAACAGGTACTGCAAATATTTGCTTCACTTATTTACTTTTTTTTTTTAAATTTCTGGATTGGCTACTATTTTTCAGATGCTCTGTTAGTTGCTGGTGAACCACTGTGAATCAAACAGATATAATCTCTGCCTTCACAGACTTTCCAGTCTAGTTTTAGGCAAATTACTTAGCACCAAGCACCCTTACTTCCTCAAAGTCTTATCCAGATCTGTCTCTTACACTCCCTATTTGAAGAATTCCAGTTGAACATGTCTGGATTCACTTTGTCCATGGTTTTATAAATGTCAACAGTGCAATCCTAAACCATATTCTTCCCAGATCATAGTCATTTATCTGCAGGATTGTAGCCTCCTAGAGGGGCAGGACCTATGCCCTCTTGTTGAAAACTGTACCCCCAGTGCCTGGGACAGTGAAATCCCCAATAAATGTTTGATGAATAACTTAAATTCATACTAGACTAATATGAATATTTTTCCTTCACCTCAGTCTTTTTTTTTACCAGTTTTTGCTACCATTGTACCAATTATCTCTTGAGGTTCAATGACCAGAACTGTCATGAGCACTAATAGTAAAAGACACCAAAATTTTCTCCTCTATTGGGAGATTATTTTTTACAGTATTGATGTTGTGCTTTGTGTACATGACTCCAAGGACAGTCTGCAGTGAGCTCCTAGAATCTTGTTCTCTGTAGGTAATGAGCTTTCCCAGGCTCACATACAACTCACCTAACTGGAATTCCCTTCCTAAACTGTGACTGAGTCATTTCCTCTTTTCAGCATCAACCTTTGAAACTTCTTGTTTGTTCTGTCCTTTCATCAATCTTGTTCATTTCTCCTCCACTCCCATTGATTCTCTCAGTTTCGATGCCTGCCTATTTATATCTTTAATCAGTTTAGAATTTTAAGGTTTTTTTTTCCCCATTAGCTAATCTTAGACACCTGTGTTTTTATTCTACCTGACCAAAAAGAGACTTGTCACATTTCATGTGCATATATTATATCAACAAAAGTATGTTAAGGAATTCTAGTCTTTTAAATACATCAAAGTGGTTAACACTCAGATGCCTTCTTCCCAGTTACTGCAATACCTGATGTACAAAGTGTTTTGACCCTGACTTTGAGAACTATGTGAATTCCTTCCCAGACATCATATTATTTCATTGGTACATACTTCTAGGCATCTTTAACAGATTTTTTCTTTAACATACCACTATACCATTATCACACCTATAAAATTAATGGTAATTCCATTGTACAGTCATCCTACTAACAAAGAGCTCAGACTGGTTCATAATCACTGATCTAGTCATCTTTTTCCATCATCTGAAAAGATTGTGACAAGTATTCTTATCTCTATGAAGAGAGAAAGCTGAGATAAGAGTTCTGGGTAACTTCCGCAGCCCTTAGTAGAATAGGAAGTATTCCTACTCTTATATCAGTGAGTATACATGTTTATTTGGAAATAAGAAATAAAGTCTCCCTTTACAATTCTGCCTCCTTCTGTCCTGTCAATGGATTTAATATTACTACCTCTGGCTCCCAAATCATTTGCACTTTTGAAATCATTTTTTAGGTAGTTTCAGGGTGATTCAGTCACTTGGGGAAACTACATAGTGTTTACATTTATAAATATAGAAAACAAATGAATATTAGAGCCCAGAGAAATATCTTTGAGAAGAGTTGGCATGTGTTCAAAAACCAAACGAGCAAAGTGTATAATGGAGATGGAACAGAAAAGGAGGCAGCTTTGACCTGCACTGTGGTTTAACCAGCATAATAAGATCAGGTATCTACTTTTCATTAAAGCAGTTGCTTGTGGCTAAGAAAAGTATAGAAATATATGCAGGATACCTGAACTATTCAAATAGTGTATTGTGTGGAAAAGAAAAGGAATAGGACCTTCACAGATTACAGAAAAATAGGCACCAAGACCTTCAGGAAACTGTGCATGCTATATAAAATTCTAGTCCAAGTTCATTCCTGAATTGTCTCCTGGGTAATATGATTCAGAAAGCAATAGGCTGTGATAATACTGTATAATAGCTAACTCATAGAGATGTCAAAATTGAAAGGGAAAAAAGAAAAAAGGATTGCCTGGAGCCAAGTCCCTCCTGAACATTGGGTAAAAGTGAACAACCAGCTCTATAAACATGAGAACCAAATGACTGGAAAATGTGACTGAATGGGAAATTGCCAAAAGTTTCCTAGGTAATAATTTAACAATCTTGGAAATGTGGTTTGTCTCCTGTTGGAGCAGCAGGGGAGAATGTTCAGAAGAATGGTACCAGACATGGACATCTTGCCTGGGAAATCTCTGCTAAAGACAGTTTCCTTTGGAAAATGTTTTAAATTTGGCAAAAATTCACAAAACCTTATTTTTCTATGATAACATTTTTAAAGACGGTAACCTTTAGTTTTGTCTATTAATAGACCAACCTAAAGTACCTGACAATTACCCTACAAAAAAAGATTAAAGAATTAGAGCATTTTAAAATACCTCCTATTGCTCCTTTTGTATTATAGCTTCAATATAGTAATCGGATGTTGTAAATCATATTGTGCATAAGACTTTTTATTTTTGGCCGCACAGCATGTGGTATCTCAGTTCCCCGACCAGGGATTGAACCCATGCCCCCTGCAGTAGAAGCTCCAAGTCTTAACCAGTGGACCACCAGGGAAGTCCCTAGACATTTTTTTTTTTTTAACATCTTTATTGGGGTATACTTGCTTTACAATGGTGTGTTAGTTTCTGCTTTATAACAAAGTGAATCAGTCATACATAAACATATGTTCCCATATGTCTTCCCTCTTGTAGACATTTTTATTTAACTTTATTTTGGATTTCAGTCATTCAAAAGTAGGAAAAAAAAGTCTAATGAATTGCCATTTTCAACAGTTATCAAGATTTTGCCATTCTTATTTCATCTATTCCCCATTTTTTCTGTGTGAGGAATTTTTTTTGACTATTAAAAAAGTTTAACAAGAAAGTTTAATGTGAAAATGTATACTGCTCAATTTTTTATATGATAGTAAAACAGGCCCTTTGGAGATGGGACATGAGGAAGCAATTGATATCTTTGATGAACACAACCTTTGTTTATACTCATTCCAAGGCTTCTAACATGATGATACTATTTTCCCTTATACTGCCATTCCAGTATTGTTCTGTCACCCACCAATTGCTGTCTCTGCACATTCATCTATTGAAAGATTCATAAAGGAGTCAAGTCCCCAAAGATTCCTTGGACATGTCCACCACCATTTGATTTCAGTGATAACTTCTTGTCCATACATGTTTCAACTCAGGAGGGTGAGCCTTGCTTATGGCGTCTACTCAACAAGCTCAAAGATACCTTGAAATGGAATTCGTGGCCTTCCTCACACTTCCATGGCCGGCTCTCAGAATAATTTAAAGTAAATCCCAGACATCATATTATTTCGTTGGTATATACTTCTCTAGGTATCTAACAGATTAGGACCTTTTTATTTTCAACATACCACAATACCATTATCACACCAATAAAATTAGTGGTAATTCCATTATACAGTATAATCCCTAGTCCATCGTCAATTTTCCCCAATTATCTAAAAAAAATTTTTTTTAAGAGTTGGTGATTTCAAATCAGGATCCAAACAAAATCTATATATTTCCTTTATTTGCTGTATCTTTAGGTCTTTTTTTATTTGTCTCCCCCCTCACCCCCACATCGTCATGCCATTTATTTGTTGAAGAGGTGAGGTTATTTATCCTGCAGAATTTCCCACATTTGGCTGGTTGCATTTTTATTGTATTATTTAGCATATTCCTTTCTCCTCCGTATTGTCTGTAAACTAGGAGTTAGATCTAGAGGCTAGGTTTGATTCAGGTTTTAATTTTTTTTGGTAAAAATATTTCTACATTGGGGATGCAATGTACTTTCTATTGCATCACACCAGGCAGCACATAATGTCTAGTTGTCTCAGTTTTAGTACTGTGATGTACTAAACTTGATCAGCCTGATCTAGCTATTGTCAGCCTTAGCTAGCTAGCTAGCTGTCTTTTAACACATATATCGTGCTCTACTCTCAACAGTTTCTGCTCAGTGCGGAGTCTGTCTTTCTATTAAAGAGCTTCCACTGGATGTTGCTGAGCCTTCGGGGTCCTGATTGGGACCTTTCCTTGCACTCATTGGCAAAAGAGATCCTGCCAGATCTCCTCCCAGTTCTCAGTGTAGTACCTAGATTCCCTCCTGGGGTTCCCATGTCAAGGAGGGGGGTGAGGCGCCCTTCCTTTGGATGATGACTTGGTGATTTCTGGGTTCCTTGGCTCTTTTGACCCTTACAGGACCACATTTTCAAACCTCCACTTCTGCTGGCACAGGTGTGGTTCCCCCTTTCTAGTTGCTAAGGGTAGTTAGTGTTCTGGAGTTCCAGGGGATGTTTTTCCCTTGGTTTTTGGTAAAGATGTTACTGTATAGTTTTTTCTTTTTTTCCATCCTCGTGGCTCTCACTGTTTTTTGTAAGGGAATCCCGGGAACTTCCAAAACTGCTCTGCTACTAACACCACTCCCTTGCTTCTCTGCACTCTTGGCGTTTTAAGGTTTAAATTGCCTGCTAGTTAACCTAAATTTATTTATTAGAGCCCTGCTATTGAAATAACTTATTTGATCACTGCTAAAATAATTGTGACATTTTTGCTATTCAGAGATGTGAGATATAAGTGAGTGTAAATTTAAGTATGAATAATATCCTCTGGGAACAGCTGGGCAGGCTCTTGTCTGACAACTTTACTCTCCTATTTACATTTTCAGCCAGGAGCTGTAACATGTTGCTGTACTTTACTGTGAAATTCAGTAAAGCAAAAAGTGCTCCTGGGCAAAGGGCAGCCAAGCAGTCCACCTGAAAGGCTCTGTGTTTACCCTGACACCTGATCGGAACAAGAATGATACTAAATTCAGATACGTGTCTGAAAACTTGCCTTGGACAGCATTTGCTGGGTATGTTTTATCTATTGGAAGTAGAAAGGGAGATTAGCTGAACTCGCTAAGAGAGCGAGTCAGACATAAGAATTTTGGAAGTTTAGGTCTGATTACAAATGTTAAACACACTGTAATAAATGCAGTAGTATGAGCTTTTCTGTCCTAAAGTTTCACATTATCTGATTAAGCCACTTCTTGGGCTTTAGGCTCCCTGTTGAGATCAACTGAAAGCAAATAGTCTGTTAGAATTGTACCTTTTGTGATACACTCTGGGGTCAAGATTAAACCTGCCAAAATATGCACATATAGCCATTAGCCAGTGAAAGCTTCTGAACAGAGGGTACAAACTGGGTAGACCTAGATTTACTCTAGTGAATGGAGAGTGAAATTGTACGTCCATGGTCATATTACAGCCGTCACTGAATTACTGGAGTCTTGAGGCAAACCTGGAGGTAAAGAGCAGTGGGTGAGAGCACAGACACTGGAGCCTGGCTAACATGATTGAGTCCTTCCTCTGCCTTTTTACTTGGTGACCTTTGGCAAGTGACTAAGTTTTCATATCTGTGAAGTGGAGATAAAAACAGTCTCTAACTCATAAAGCTATTATGGGGATTGAATGAGTGTAGGTAAAGCGTTGGAAACAGCAGCGCCTGGCTGTTTGGTAAGCACTGTGTGTTTTCTATTGTTATTATCTCTCTTCAAGAGTTGTTTTGTTGGGTTATTAGGACATCTTATCACAAAGGCTGAATAATGCCTCTCAGGTTACAGCAGCGGATTCTTTCATGACCACCATCAAATATCAGGAGCGTTAATTACTCATTTGAATTAGAGTCAGTTGTGGCCATGTAACTAACAAAAAAGATAGATCCTGTTGGTTGAGTAAACTGCTCCTCAAATTAAGGTTTAATACAGTAATTTTTGTGTTTCACTGTTTCTTTTAAAGTAATGATCTGCAAAATGGAGCCATAATTTTCTAAGTGATCTCTTCAGGACTGAAAAATGTTAATGTAGCTTTTAATACTGCTTCATTTTAACTCAAGACATGCTTCATTTAATTAGGAAGATCTTAAATAATAATTTCAATATATAACTGTAGTTTTACAGTATTCTTTTCTTTTTTTTTAACATCTTTATTGGAGTATAATTATAATTGCTTTACAGTCTTGTGTTAGTTTCTGCTGTATAACAAAGTGAATCAGCTATATGCATAACGCATATCCCCATATCCCCTCCATCTTGCATCTCCCTCCCACCTTCCTTATCCCACGCCTCTACGTGGTTGCAAAGCATCAAGCTGATTTCCATGTGCTATGCAGCTGCTTCCCACTAGCTATCTGTTTTATATTTGGTACTGTATATATGTCAGTGCTACTCTCTCACTTCATCCCAGCTTCCCCTTCCCCCTCCCCATCTCCTCAAGTCCATTCTCTACGTCTGTGTCTTTATTCCTGTCCTGCCCCTAGGTTCATCAGAACCATTTTTTTTTTTTAGATTCCATATATATGTGTTAGCATATTGTATTTGTTTTTCTCTTTCTGACTTACTTCAGTCTGTATGACAGACTCTAGGTCCATCCACCTCACTACAAATAACTGCTTTGTTTCTTTTTATGGCTGAGTAATATTCCATTGTATATATGTGCTACATATTCTTTATCCATTCATCTGTCAGTGGACACTTAGGTTGCTTCCATGTCCTGGCTATTGTAAATAGTGCTGCAATGAACATTGTGGTACATGACTCTTTTTGAATTATGGTTTTCTCAGGGTATATGCCCAGTAGTGGGATTGCTGGGTCATCTGGTAGTTCTATTTTTAGTTTTCTAAGGAACCTCCACACTGTTCTCCATAGTGGCTGTATCAATTTACATTCCCACCAACAGGGCAAGAAGGTTCCCTTTTCTCCAAACCCTCTCCAGCATTTATCGTTTGTAGATTTTTTGATGATGACCATTCTGACTGGTGTGAGGTGATACCTCATTGTAGTTTTGATATGCATTTCTCTAATAATTAGTGACGTTGAGCATCCTTTCATGTGTTTGCTGGCAATCTGTATATGTTCTTTGGAGAAATGTCTATTTAGGTCTTCTGCCCATTTTTGGATTGGGTTGTTTTTTTTTTTTGATATTGAGCTGCATGAGCTGCTTGTATATTTTGGAGATTAATCCTTTGTCAGTTGCTTCCTTTGCAAATATTTTCTCCCATTCTGAGGGTTGTCTTTTCATCTTGTTTATGGTTTCCTATGCTGTGCAAAAGTTTTTAAGTTTCATTAGGTTCCATTTGTTTATTTTTGTTTTTATTTCCATTTCTCTAGGAGGTGGGTCAAAAAGGATCTTGCTGTGATTTATGTCATAGAGTATTCTGCCTATGGTTTTCTCTAAGAGTTTTATGGTGTCTGGCCTTACATTTAGGTCTTCAATCCATTTTGAGTTTACTTTTGTGTATGGTGTTAGGGAATGTTCTTATTTCATTCTTTTACATGTAGCTGTCCAGTTTTCCCAGCACCACTTATTGAAGAGGCTGTCTTTTCTCCATTGTATACGCTTGCCTCCTTTATCAAAGATAAAGTGACCGTGTGTGTGGTTTTATCTCTGGGCCTTCTATCCTGTTCCATTGATCTATATTTCTGATTTTGTGCCAGTACCATACTGTCTTGATTACTGTAGCTTTGTAGTATAGTCTGAAGTCTGGGAGCCTGATTCCTCCAGCTCTGTTTTTCTTTCTCAAGATTGCTTTGGCTATTTGGGGTCTTTTGTGTTTCCATACAAATTGTGAAATTTTTTGTTCTAGTTCTGTGAAAAATGCCATTGGCGTTTGATAGGGATTGCACAGAATCTGTAGATTGCTTTGGGTAGTATAGTCATTTTCACAATGTTTGTTCTTCCAATCCAAGAGCATGGTATATCACTCCATCTGTTTCTATCATCTTTAATTTCTTTCATCAGTGTCTTACAGTTTTCTGCATACAGGTCTTTGTCTCCTTAGGTAGGTTTATTCCTAGATATTTTATTCTTTTTGTTTCAGTGGTAAATGGCAGTGTTTCCTTAATTTCTTTTTCAGATTTTTCATCATTAGTGTATAGGAATGCAAGAGATTTCTCTGCGTTAATTTTGTATCCTGCTGCTACTCTACCAAATTCATTGATTAGCTCTAGGTGTTTTCTGGTAGCATCTTTAGGATTCTCTATGTATAGTATCATGTCATCTGCAAACAGTGACAGTTTTACTTCTTCTTTTCCGATTTGTATTCCTTTTATTTCTTTTTCTTCTCTGATTGCTGTGGCTAAAACTTCCAAATCTATGTTGAATAATAGTGGTGAGAGTGGGCAACCTTGTCTTGTTCCTGATCTTAGTGGAAATGGTTTCAGTTTTTCACCATTGAGAATGATGTTGGCTGTGGGTTTGTCATATATGGACTTTATTATGTTGAGGCAGGTTCCCTCTATGCCTACTTTCTGGAGAGTTTTTATCATAAATGGATGTTGATTTTGTCAAAAGCTTTTTCTGCATCTATTGAGACTATCATATGGTTTTTCTCCTTCAATTTGTTAATATGCTGTATCACATTGATTGATTTGCATATACTGAAGAATCCTTGCATTCCTGGGATAAACCCCACTTGATCATGGTGTATGATCCTTTTAATGTGCTGTTGGATTCTGTTTGCTAGTATTTTGTTGAGGATTTTTGCATCTATGTTCATCAGAGATATTGGCCTGCAGTTTTCTTTTTTGTGACATCTTTGCCTGGTCTTGGTATCAGAGTGATTGTGGCTTCATAGAATGAGTTTGGGAGTGTTCCTCCTCTGCTATATTTTGGAAGACTTTGAAAAGGATAGGTGTTAGCTCTTCTGTAAATGTGTGATAGAATTCACCTGTGAAGCCTCCTGGTCCTGGGCTTTTGTTTGTTGGAAGTTCTTTTTTTTTTTTTGTGGTACGCAGGCCTCTCACTGTTGTGGCCTCTCCCGTTGCAGAGCACAGGCTCCGGACGCACAGGCTCAGCAGCCATGGCTAATGGGCCCAGCAGCTCCATGGCATGTGGGATTTTCCCAGATTGGGGCATGAACCTGTATCCCCTGCATCGGCAGGTGGACTCTCAACCACTGCGCCACCAGGGAAGCCCCTGTTGGAAGATTTTTAATCACAGTTTCAATTTCAGTGCTTGTGATTGGTCTTGTTTATATTTTGTTTCTTCCTGGTTCCATCTTGGAAGGTTGTGCTTTTCTAAGAATTTGTTCATTTCTTCTGGGTTGTCCATTTTATTGGCATAGAGTTGCTTGTAGTAATCTCTCATGATCCTTTGTATTTCTGCAATGTCAGTTGTTACTTCTCCTTTTTCATTTATAATTCTATTGACTTGAGTCTTCTCCCTTTTTTTCTTGATGAGTCTGGCTGATGGTTTATCAATTTGGTTTATCTTCTCAAAGAACCAGCTTTTAATTTTATAGATCTTTGCTATTGTTTCCTTCATTTCTTTTTCATTGATTTCTGATCTGATTTTTATTATTTCTTTCCTCCTGCTAACTTCAGGGTTTTTTTGTTCTCCTTTCTCTAATTGCTTTAGGTGTAAGTTTAGGTTGTTTATTTGAGGTTTTTCTTGTTTCTTGAGGTAGGATTGTATTGCTTTAAACTTCCCTCTTAGAACTGCTTTTGCTGCATCCCATTGGTTTTGGGTTGTCATCTTTTCATTGTCATTTGTTTCTAGGTATTTTTTGATTTCCTCTTTGATTTCTTCAGTGATCTCTTGGTTATTAAGTAGCATATTGCTTAGCCTTTATGTGTTTGTATTTTTTAGTTCTTTTCCTGTAATTGATATCTAGTCCCATAGTGTTATGGTTAGAAGAGATACTTGATACAATTTCAATTTTCTTAAATTTACCAAGGCTTGATTTGTGACCTAAGATACGGTCTATCCTGAAGAATGTTCCATGAGCACGTGAGAAGAAAGTGTATTCTGTTTTTGGATGGAATGTCCTGTAAATATCAATTAAGTCCATCTTGTTTAATGTGTCATTTAAAGT